GAAAACATACAAGCACAAATGCAAACACACATAGCTAAGTACTAAGGACTTTGGTTGACTCATCTTCACTGCCCATCTTCCTCGTCAGTGTTCTCGTCCTCGCCATTGTTTTCCTGGATTTGCTCATCTTCATTGACCTCGCTAGAGTCACTACCCTGTTCCTCATTGGTCCCTTTGTCCTCTTGATTTCTTTCCTTGTTTTAGTCATCGCTCGTCGTCCTTTTCACTGCCCTCTTCCTCATTGGTCCCTTTGTCCTCTTGATTTTTTTCCTTGTTTTGGTCATCGCCATTGCCCTCGTCATCGTCTTCACTGCCCTCTTCCTCATTGGTCCCTTTGTCCTCTTGATTTCTTTCCTTTTTTCGGTCATTATCATTGCCCTCGTCATCCTCTTCACTGTCCTCTTCCTCATTGGTGTCATTGTCCTCTTCACTGCTTTCCTTGTTTTGCTCATCGTCATTACCCTCGTTATCCTCTTCACTTCTTTCTTCATTACTTTCCTCGGTTGGCTTAGGAGATAGTTCCCAAGGTCTTGAGAATTTTTTGTAGTCAATCCTCAAGGACCTCATGATGTGATGGTTGCATTTGATGATGTAGTGTCGAGCTTCCTTCTCTCGATCGAGGCGGGAGAGAATGAGTGCATTTTGCTCCAGAATTTGGGCATTCTGCCGACCCAATGCCTCCAAATGGAATATGCATGTGTCGGTGGATGGTCCGGCTTGAGTCGTAGTTTGGTGATGTTGTGCAGGTTGTTCTGGAGTCTCCTCGACCATTTGCTGAACAACATGCTCCGATGCGTTTGCCTCATCTGTTGCAAGAGGAGGAGTAGGATGAGGGAGGCCAACAATGCCTATCACACCATTCTCCTTAACCACCAAACACAGACCTGATCAATATCAGAATCATTAGTTACATTTGCTCAATGTTCAAAAGGAACTAGATTAGTAGGCAATCCAAAACTTGCACAAAATCAATCCTAGATTGTTTGAATCCCAACTAGTTCTGTTTTAGCATTCACTGTGAAAAGGAAAGTGTTGGTTGGAACATTTACCTTTGACAACAAAAACAAATATAGATCCGCAAGATTTTTTTGGGTGATTGGTTGAGTGGACTGGTCAATGGTGCAATGAGAACCCAATGGATCAATGCCAAAATGGCGAGCTAGCCTTGTGATGTAGGCACCTCCATGGATGATCTTGATTTGTTTGTTGGAGGTCATCTTCTATAGGGTTTTCAGTATGACTAAACCAAGATGAACTGGGGGATCTTTTACCATAGAGAGGAAAAAGTTTAAATCCCGCTTGGTCACACTCCCCGTGCTCCCCTCCTTAGCTGTCACAGAGTGAGCGATAATGTTGTGGATGATACGCCATGGGGGAAGAAGATCATTCCCTTTATAGTGGGCAGTGTCAGACTTCGCCACATGGCTTTGTTTCACCATTCTCCACATAGCATCGACCAATGGTGCTCTTGGTGGATATATTTTCTCTGAAATCAAACCATGTCCATCTGTGGTAAGAAATCCTGGGGGGAAAAACTGGAGTGCCTCTGTGAACTCAGTGATGCTCATCTGTCTCGCCTGTCCTCCAAAGCGAAAAGTTATGTTGTCTTGGAGCTTGTCGAGGTTAAACTTGGTTATATACTTGATGGAGATAGTGTTGAGGAACTCAATGTTAAGCTCTCGGTAGATGACCTCATTGATGGAGAGAACCTCACACCATGCTGGAAGATATAGACTTACAAACTTCTCCATTGACGTCTCTTGAGTATTCCATCCGCGTCGATCTCCAAGGTATCCTCTACTATTGTAACTCCCCTTGGAGCTGGGGTGATACCGGACAGAACAAATTTTCCAGGCAGCTACAATCCTTGGTCAGGGGTCTTTCACCCATTGCATCCCTCCCACTCAAAACTTCTCTCTCTGTATTTCAATCTCTCTCTGTATTTCGATCTCCATCTCTTTGCTTCCTTCCTTGTCCAAGGATAGTATCGAGCTTGGAAAATTTGTTCTCCTTGCTTCCTTCATTGGAGATCGACGAGGATTGAATACTCAATGTGACGTCAAGGGAGAAGATCCCAGGAGCATTCTAATCACGTCTACACCATCATGATCAGTCAGAACCATGTCAATGCTCACTGCAAAAGCCAGCAGCCTTGAAGTAGATTACACTGGCCAAATAGTGAAACGGAAGAGAAGCATCAATTCAAAGGCAGGACAATCAGAATTCACTAAGAAAATCGATGATAAGGAATTCAAAACCCTAACTCAGACCAACCTTGGGCAACTAAACCCTAAAAATTGCAAGAAACCATAGAAGAGTGGCGCTGTGGTTAAGAAGAACTCACTAGAAGCATTTAGACTACCTTAGAACAAAAGAAGTAAAATGCTTGGAACTTCCATACAAGAAAATGATGGGAACTTCCATTTACCTATGGGAGAAGAGGTTGAGAGAGGGCGAGATAGTAGAAGAGGTTGGGAGAGGGATTGGGGATCGAAGGTTGAGAGAAGGTGAGGCCGAAGAAGAGGTTGAGAGAAGGCTGGGGATCGAAGTGGAACCGGGGACTCGTGGGGAAGTGGTCGCCGTCGCCGCTGAACCTTGTGAGGCGTTAGGGATCGAAGGGGGGACAGTTGCTGATTGGCGGCGGAAGGGGGGAGCAGTTACGAGGAGGAGGAGTTGAGGGCGAGCGAGCGAGGGCGAGGTGGGAGAAGAGGGTTGGGGGTAGAGATAGAACAGAGGGAGAAGAGGGTTCAAACAAAATAGGGAGTTTCAAATTTTAGGGTTCCCATCTCACGGTTTCTTATCCCGAGCAGGATACTACCAACTCCAACCCGTGAAGCTCCCTGGGAATTTCATGTTTTTTTTTAATCTAACGGTACATCTCCCGACCGTGCGATTTTGGTTATGAGGCGTGAGAAATTGGGAGTGGTTTTCATATCACAGCTTAGTCTCACGCCCGTGAGAATTTAATTACAAGCCGTGAGGTTTCCATATCAGCTGCGAACATCGCACAGGTGAATTTCACGCCCGTGAGAATTTACAGATGAGCCGTGAGAAATCCAACATTTCAAATCCAAAAACACGGCTCATCTCACGACCGTGATATTGTCAAACCCACCCCGTGAAAACCCCTGGGAAACTGAGGACTACATTTTTACATCCACGGCCGCTCTCATGGTCTCTCTCACGGCCGTGATATTTCCAGAATTTCAAATCCAAAAAACACGACTGCTTTCACGGGCGTGATATTGTTGAATCCAATTCGTGAAAATCCCTGGAAAATTGAGACCTGTATTTTTGCTTCCACTGTGCGATCTCACAGCCATGAGATTTCCAAAATTGGCCGTGAGATTTCCAGAAGTAGTCTGCACAGACATTCACCTGTAGAACTAACCCCTGTACTTATTATAATGGTGTAAGAAACATAATATACTGTTTTTGAAAACTACAAGCTTATGGAAAGATGAGTCATAATGTTCTTTGAAGCTAGACACGAGCATTACATAGATCCATTCAATGTCACTAGATACTAACTTGCACAAAACAAACATTACAAGATGAAACATAATGTTGTTTGAAGCCGAATACCAGCATTACAGGTTGTGCTTGGATCGTTTGGGAAGTAGAACAGATTCTTGAGTCTCCACATGAAAGCTGCTTTCACCTGCTCCTATGGACTCGAAGTTGTATTCTTGTTGCGTGAAATGACTATCACCTGCACCTGCTTCAGCCATTCTTTTCAGCGGGCAATTTTTGATTGTATGTTTAGGATGCCTGCAATACTTGCACAACCGTGTTTTCACTTGAGGTTGCTTCACATTCCCTTTACTTCGAACTGGATGGGGGTTCTTAATAATTTGAGAGGAGTTCACTCCAACATCCGTAGTAGCATTATTGCTTTTGCTAGTTGTTTCTTCACTTATTGTCTTCACTCGCAAGGTCAAGTCTTCAATCAACCCTTTGGCAGTAGGAAATGCTTCATCCGAACTCACAGCATAATGGCACATTCTACTACATTGACCAACCAAGAATCCAAACCTGTCCAAATAAACAAGCACTTTTGTAGTTGGTTCCAAGCACAATAGAAGTAAACAAAGAACTAAATCGGCAGCTTAAATTTATAATACCTGCTAATATTTTACTGGGTAGGACAGCTTCCCATACTCGAGGGATCGAACTCTTTTGCATTTTTAGTCCAACGCTTCAAAATGAGTGACTTGGGAATTTATATTTGATTTTCTGCTTTCAATATACAGAATATATGCCGACATGGAATTTCGCAGAACTAAAAAATGCCACAAGAACAATGCACATCATGTCCACTCGTGTAAAAGACCACGGTGCACTTTGTGTCATGGTATTTGAATCGTGACATAGAGCTCGTCGCCTATACATCTTGTTCATCCACGCATTGTGCTCCAGGTCATACTTGGAAAAAATTTCCTTCCACGTAGCTTCAAATTGTGGAATAGAACTGCAGTTTAGCATGCATTGTTTGAAATCTTCCCGGAAGCCTTCCGCATGGCCACGCGCTTCTGCGTTATTGCCCAAGTGCCAAGAACATAACCGATGTCGGGATCCCGGGAGAACCGACTTGATGTAAAGCATTTAGAATCTATACGTAGTTCTCCGCCGTTTCATCCGCAAGTAAAGCACATGCAAAAACAGTGCTTGCATTGTGATTATTCACACCAATGAATAGAAGAAATGGAAGATTATATGCATTAGTCTTGTACGTCGAGTAAAAAACAAAAACATCTCCAAAGAGACTATAATCCAATTATGAAGTAGAGTCAACCGATAACATATTGCCTAGTTCACCACCATCACTTACTGTGTATCTATAATAAAAACGAGGATCGGTAGTTGCCCGCGCTTGTAAGTAGGCAAGTGCAGCTTCACTATCACTATCCAAGATCTCCGACCTCCGATCCGCACTAACAAAATTGTAGACATCGGTCTTAGTGAAACCCAGGTTCTGAAAGCTTCCCGCACAATTCGCTAGATAATCCATGATTTGATTGGTGCGAACACCAGCAGCCCTAAGTGATCGAATCTTAGCCTTACTTGAGTCATCTACCTTGCGATGAGAACTCAAAAACTACACTTCATGTGCTCCAACTAAGTGATGAAAATGTGTTGGTACAAACTGCTTCACCTTGAATCGGTTAGTTGCCTCAACAAAACTGACTTTGAAAGCAGTCAGACAATGGAGCCTTGTTACAGGCCTAGGTTCACGCTTTCTGTTCTCCTTGTTATTGTACACTGGCTGACGCTCCCCTCGTGTGAGAAAACCCATTGCTGAATATTTTTAACTCTATATTTTGAATGTGTTAGTGTTCATTCGTACGCTGAATCCCATGGCACAACCATAAGTTGAATAGAACTTGCCAGCCTCCACAAGGGTTTCAAACTCATAACCCACAACATCATCCGACTCCCATTTAGCATATGGCTTCCCATTCCCGACTTTATCAAGCAGGGTCCAGTCATACATACTTGAGGACGGTGGAGCCTTGGCTGGATTTGCAGCATCTTTGTGTAGAGGTGCATCTGAGCTGTGTGGCTGTGTTTCAAAGCTGTGCAAATGCTCATCTGAGATGTTCTCCTTATCATAATCACCAATGTTAGTGTTATTATCATCCTCAGAATCCGTATCACTGGTGTCGACATTGTCCTCCATATCGTCACTATCTCTAACACCACCGATATCATCTCCATAATCCATTCCCCAATCTAAACCAACATTCAAGTCAATTCCCGTGTCCTTGCCTGTTCTCATATCATCCACCAACCCTTCCATAGTTGATCAACTGAAAACAACCAACCAAATGAAGTTTAGAGACAATTGAAATCCACATATTCACCACCCACAACCGACCGAATCCAACAATTCACTAATCAATTAACAATCAACGAAAAAATATTAGAGGCATATACATATAAGCCACATAGTTTCTGTGCATCTTTAAGCATCCATTACCTACCAAGCTTAACTAACATACTACTACTGATAATGCTCTGGGATTCATTGTAACAGAGGGCAATAGCATGACAAAAGAATCCTCCAAGCCCCATGTTAACCTCAAAAGACAGCCCTTTCACCCCCTCAGTACTTATGATTCTGTAGATCCTCAAATCAAACATCAAAATGGTTCAAATAAAATGATTGATAAAGAATGTGAACCAGAATCAGGACATGAAGTCAAAGTTGCTTTTTCAGCTTCCCTAGCTATATGCAGGAGCAGGAATACTAACCAGAAAACACACTCTTTAAAATTCGAATGACAGTGATTCACGTTCTTCCACAATGCGAAAGCTAAAACACTTCATTCTCCAGAAAAATTCGGCCAGAGAAAGGGTGCTCAATACCCAGTTCAGAACGCAGAATAGACCCACTCAATCGCCATTAAACGAAACAAACACGAGCCAAGTCTGAGTTAAGAAAACTCAGCTCGATAGGTGCCCTATCAACTCGATAGTTTCCCCTTCACTTCCGCGAAAAACCAACCATTCACAAATGAAATGAAGCCAAGCAAGATCACAATTCACAACAGCCACCAAATTGAACAAAGAAGACAACCAGAACGATGGAGTCAACTACTACCAGTCGCAATAAGTAATAATCTCGCTAGGAACAAAAACAAATTCAGCCACAACTGATCTCCAACATAGATGATCTAAAATATATGATGTATCAACATACAAGTACCAACCTGGATTTAGGATTAGAACCAACGACTCAGTAGGAGAAGGCACATACAAGGAATTGACTGGCGGAGGGCGATAATGTATTTCCGGCTCCAGTACTATCCGCTGTCTCCCACAAAGTAGCTCCGCTTCCTTTGCCGCAAAGAGGACCAGCAATCTCCAACAAATTTAACCCCCCCCCCCCCCAACCCCAATCTTAGGGTTTGAGTGGTTTGAACAGGGAAATCAGATCTCACTAATTAGGGTTCTAGCTGGGCGGTGAAGGATGGGCGAATAAGGGAGAATGGAGAATCGATGGTTGGGTAGAGAAGGGAAGACGAAGGAAGGGAGATAGGAAGAATCTGGTTTTGTAATATTGGTGGAGAAGGAGCCGACGAAGGACGACAATTAAGAATTGAGGCTAGGAAATGAAATCGGTCGAGTGACCTACAGAGGTTGGGAAACAAGAATTGGACACCTACGTATGGAAGAACGGAGGTAGGATGGAGGGAGGGAAGCAGGAAGGAGGAAGCCGACAGGGAGGAACCGAGGATTAGTCCTCTAGCGCCGACGAAGGATGAGAAGGAAGAAACGGCATCACTATTACAACTTACGACGGTGAGGGTTTAGGATCTAGGAATTTCTTCATTATGACCGACCCAAAAAATCATCGGTTTATAATAAGATGGGTTAAACCCAAAACCATAGTCAAATGCTCAGTCAACCATATACTCTCAACCAATCTCACATTGGTTCACAAGTAGATGGGTTGAACCCAAAACCATAATCAAACACTCAATCAACCATATACCCAACCTCAATCTCACATCGGTTTACAAGTACATGGGTTGAACCCAAAACCATAACCATAACCAAACACTCACTCAACCATATATCATAAATCAATCCCACATCGATTTATAATTAGATGGGTTAAACCCAAAACCATAGTCAAACGCTCAGTCAACCATATAAAGTACATCGGTTCAACCCAAAACCATAATAAAATGTCAATCAACCATATACCATAAACTCAATCCCACGTCGGTTCACAATTACATGGGTTCAACCGAAAACCATAATCAAACACTCACTAAACCATATACTCTCAACCAATCTCACATCGGTTAACAAGTAGATGGGTTAATCCCAAAACCATAATCAAACACTCACTAAACCATATACTCTTAACCAATCTCACATCGGTTCACAAGTAGAAGGGTTGAAACCAAAACCATAATCAAACACTCAATGAACCATATACCTAACCTCAATCTCACATCGGTTTACAAGTACATGGGTTGAACCCAAAACCATAACCAAACACTCACTCAACCATATACCTAATCTCAATCTCACATCGGTTTACAATTACATGGGTTCAACCCAAAACCATAATCAAACACTCACTAAACCATATACTCTCAACCAATCTCACATCGGTTCACAAGTAGATGGGTTGAACCCAAAACCATAGTCAAATGCTCAGTCAACCATATGAAGTACATGGGTTAAACCCAAAACCATAATCAAACGTCAATCAACCATATACCGTAAACCCAATCCCACGCCGGTTCACAAGTACATTGGTTCAACACAAGTACATGGGTTAAATCCAAAACCATAATCAAACGTCAATCAACCATATACCGTAAACCCAATCCCACGCCGGTTCACAAGTATATGGGTTAAACCCAAAACCATAATCAAACGTCAATCAACCATATAATGTAAACCCAATCCCACGATGGCTCACAAGTACATGGGTTCAACACAAGTACATGGGTTAAACCCAAAATCATAATCAAACGTCAATCAATCAAATACCGTAAACCCAATCCCCCATCGGTTCACAATAACATGGGTTCAACCCAAAACCATAATCAAACACTCATTAAACCATATATCATCAACCAATCTCACATCGGTTCACAATTACATGGGTTCAACCCAAAAATCGTAATCAAACACTCACTAAACCATATATCATCAACCAATCTCACATCAATTCACAAGTAGATGGGTTGAACCCAAAACCATAATCAAACACTCAATCAACCATATACCTAACCTCAATCTCACATCGGTTAACAATTACATGGGTTGAACCCAAAACCGATAATTAAACGCTCATTCAACCGTATGGTAAATTGGTAACAGGTTGTAAAATACAAACGGACAATGAATTTAACAAAATATGTTAGGTAGTCTGACTGGTTAATGCATTGAATGATTATGCCAAGTGTGCGGGTTCGATCCTTCTAAATGACGTTTTTTATTCACTAACTCACGCCCACAATCTCACGGGTGTAAGATAGACCTTTCAAGACCGTGAGGTTTCCTGGACTCTAGGAAATAATTTTTTCATTCTCACGGCCCCGTCTCACGGGCGTGAAATGCCCATCATTAAGGCGTTAGAAAAACCCATCACACAGCCCAGTCTCAAGGGTGTGAAAGGCCCATCCTTAAGGTGTCAGGGAAATCACTATCTCACGGCCGCGAGAATGGATTATTGAGGCCGTGAGACTGCCTGCTGGCAGGGGGAATAAGGTCCATTTTCAAGGTTACTCTCACATTCGTGAGGTTTCCATCATCGGACCGTGAAAATGAGAAGGTTCAATTTTCAACCATTTTTCGGTATATGATCATTCATAACTTCTTCCTTGTCGACACATTAAACATAATATAGAGAAAAGAGAACATCACCGAATAATGCTTCATTCATAACTTCATTGTAATTTCAACAGTTTCCTAAACTTCTTTCAACATCTACATTCACTAAAATTCATTCAACATCTACATTTTCCTAAACTTCATTCAACATCCACATTAACTAAACTCTACATTAACATTTTCCTAAAATTCATTCAACAACTACATTTTCCTAAACTTCATTCAACATCCACATTAACTAAACTCTACATTAACATTTTCCTAAAATTCATTCAACATCTAGACCCAATTTCTGCAAATGAAAACATCCCCCTCATCGATATTTAAAGTCGGCAAATGAAAAACAACTAACAACTAAGCAATAAGTCAAGTTTGAAAACTTGAAGAAGAAGACAAGAAGCAAACCAGTTTCTGCATCCTTGCATCATATTCTTGGTTATGAGTTCCTGGTAATGAGTCCCAGATTTCAATTTCTTTGGTTTCCAAGTTAAAGAGCGCCAGATAGAAGTGGGTCAACGTGAGGGTGAAAATTGGGACCTGAATCTGAAATAATGCACAAACAAACAATAATTATCAATTTATCATAGGAGGGTTAAGCCATTTCCTTTTATAAAACAACGTTACAACATACCTTACTGCAATAAAGTAGCTCATTTATACGGTATCGCTCAAGTATCTTATATGAACCCATGGTAGCCATAAATTGCTCCTCGTTGCAATGATACGCACGATCCTAGAAAAATAAAGCGCAGTTACCCACACAAGCTACATATAACAAACAAATAGATTAATTTCATGACAAGAATAGACAAAGCAGACAACTGTACCGAAACTGAAGGTGGAAAGAACCAAGACAAGCCACCACTGCGACCACAACTTCGTTCTTCTAGTGTCTTGCACAGACACACCATTTCTATAATCTAATGCATCATCATCACATATACCAAAGTCAGCAATACAATTTCAATCTACTAAATTACACATAAAGGAACTCACCCTTGTTGAAAGTTTGGTCCTGGGCAAAAGCTGGACCAAATCTTCACGGAGCAAGGGAAGAACCCCACCATCAAGACTAACCAACATGTCACTGTTATACAAGACCAAGTTCAAACACCACAACATTAGAATAAGGCAAATAACAAAAACATCCTACAAATATGATCCAATCTTACTTGTAATGATTTCGGGAGGTACCTTCCAGGTTGCTTACTACTAAAAGCAAATTGAATCATCTTTACTGCCTCCAGAGTCAATGATGTCTTAACAACAAAGGGAGGAGCAAAGTACAAAGGTTGTGCATTCTTAGCTCTGGGATTTGCCCATTCGATTGTAGAGACCACATGCAAACTAGGCTTCAATTTAGATACACTACGTAGTCCACCTCTCTTTCGCCCCTTTATTGTTCAAAAACATAAAAACAAAACCAATTCATTAGTAACCACACCATAAGAACAAATAATTAGAAAACTTAATCAAGTGTAATACCTTCACAGTCTTGGCACAACCATCATTAGCAACAACACTTTCATCACTCAAAAGTATGAATTTCTCAACTTTAGACGCTTTCGCCTGCTTGCAAGGAAACTTTTTCACAACTTTGACAGAAGGAGATTCAGAACATCTGTCATCTCCAATTTTCCCCTCAGGCTCTCCCCAAATCTAAACACCTAACCCTTGAGTCTTGACACATACGGAGGTAGGAGAAATGGGTTCACTTGGTTTTTCAACCTCACCCTTCTTATTGCCCTTTTCCCCTCTGATAAGCTGCTCCGTTGACAACAAAACAACTACAGAAGCTTTCACATTATCAGCCGCATCCTTCTGATCGTTCTTTTTCAATTCAGTAGGCTGCTCCCTTGACAACGGGTCACCTGTAGTTGCTTTCACTGCCTCTATAATTGACTTCACTGCAGTACCAGTTTCGTCTCTAAATGCCCGAAATTCATTCTCCATTTTCATAACCCGACCCATTAGCTCCTCGTCTCTAGAAGCATCATCGCCCATTGCGACTTTAAGTTCTTGACCGAAGTTGTCAAATCTAGCCTCCATGGTACTAAACCGAGCATCAATATGCTCACAGAGAAGCAGCTCATCCCCGTCGGTTTTGTGTCGTTTCCCGTCTCTTTTTTCCCGTTTCCTTGGAGGTGATTTCAAACCTGCATCCTCAGATGATCTTTTCCCCGAATTGCTGGAAACCTATAAATTAATTGAAAAGGGAACCAAATGTACCATTAGCATACTCCAACTCGTCAAAAGAATTAAATATACCATTTTTGCACTATCAGTCTTACCACTTTCGTTAACAATAACTCTACGTCTCCGCTCTCCCAACTCATCAAATCCAAACTTCCATTAATGGTGTGGAAAATACTATTTGCATGCTCCAAGAATATTAACTACAAAAAAAACTATAATCAACATGATGATTAATCATTACGAATATGTAGAAAGTAGGGATTATCAATTATTTACCTCCAAAAACAGCAAGCAACCAGGTCTATACTTTTTCCCATCAGCATTATGGTTGCAGATGCATTTCACCAATTCATTGAAGCAATAGGATGCCCAATTCTTCTTCGGGATGTCCGCAACATCGGTGACAGCGTATACCGAAGAAAACGAAATGTCATCTCTTCTAGTAGGTACTAATAGCACCCCCATTACGTATAATATAAAAGTTTTAACAAATAGATCGCTGCTCTCTTTTATCTTCAACAACGTCTTTCGCATTAAGCTTGTGGAAATTGCCTGTCGATCACATTGACGAGTAGAATACACTCTAAATTCTTTCAGTTCCTCGGATTTTCCAACCACTTCTTCACCATCCAAAACGATATCCGTCCCCCCCTCGGGGACACCCATAATTCGCTGGAAATCTTTGGCCAAAATATGCATTTTCAGCCCATACGCCTTAATTGTGCTTTCTTCCAGATTAAAGCTCTTTAAAAGTTTCTCCAACAACTCAGGTTGTAACATTCTTCCTTTGACTTCAAGAATCCGACCAAAGCCACGTCTCTTAATGGCCTCTGATTGACAAGCCTCTAAATTTGAAACTAGGGAGAATACTTTCCTCGGAGAACATCGCGTGCTAAAAGGTCATGCCTCTTCGTCTTCATTATAGAACAATTTTAACAAACTGCAAAATTAAAACAACAACAAAATTATAAGCATGCCCAAGAGTACAAACAAAATACACAAATCATTTAGTAAACACATTAGGCAGCAAAGAAATAAGGAAATGACCGAAATGACAAACAACAATATAAAATTAGGCAATAAACTATGGCCGAAATGACAAATAAATAGAGACAACAAACAACAATAATGTGTTTCCTCTTCTCGTCCTAATTTTGATCCAACCAAAAATCAAATCTCATATCAATGCAAGTCAAAGCGCTAGAGATGAAAAACTTAACTCCAATCTCACAACATACAACCCATAATTCGAGTTTCGTGTTAGTTTTAACTCTTAAGAAAGTAGACAGATCCTCTAAGATAACCACATTGGTGAAAACATACCAACTTAAGCTACAGAGACTATCAAAGCTGGACACCATCAATGAAAATCCAAAATACTGTTGTGGGGATGAATAACAACTCTGGTGCTGTACCTTGAATAAAAAATAATAGTTACCTCAATCAGAAGACCAATTGAACATCACCCCCACCCCCCCCCCCCCCCCCCCAAGCACTCAAGCTTGATGGGAACCCTCTTTTGCTGTTCAATAAACAAAAACCATAGGGTTAACAAAAACTCACAGATATAATTAGTTAATGAGATTTAGGCTGGGATGAAACATGTTGCCTAGATCTGACGAGTTCTTGATCTAACTGAAAAAACGCTTTGTTTCTAGTTGCTGCACATATGCCTAAGGAACAACCACAACCACAACCAAAACCCTTGGCATAGCTCCCTTTTTTAGTAGTGGACCTTATACCACGTAACAACCAAATAACTATTAACAAACGCAAATAAGATTTGACAGAATTCAACAAAAGAAGAGTGTGTTCAGGGAACTCTTTGTTTATAATTATGAAAATCCTCTGGCAGCAAATGTATAAAAAAAGCCAATCCTAAAACTCATTTCCATTTTAGTGGAATAATTCATGTCGATCGAACTAGCATTACCAATTCCATCAAGGGACTTCAAAATCCAGAGTAGTAATGTTGCAGCACCCAAAACAATCTTGTAAACCATAAGTGATTTGTCGTTTACATGATATGAATGACTGATTTGTCATTTTCGAATGTAGTACTGACAGCTGCTTATCCAGCTTACACTCTACTGATTGTTTTCCCCTACAAGATTAAAATAAGGCAGCAGTACAAGGTCCTTTAAGGCAAATTCAATTTTTCATCAAGTTAGTTATCTCATAAACAAGTAAGAAGAGTCCACTATTAATTAGTAATTAGTAGTTCATGTTCATGTTCTTGATTCATACATTTGCTGGTAGAGGAGCTAACTGTAATCAGAGAAAGGAATAGATTGTCCCCACCTAGGCCATTGAAAAACACAGGCATACTAGATTACAATGATACTGGATCTGCAACTACTCTTGTCCCTTTTATACAATGGACCTTCATATGCAACTAATACCACCACCCCCCCCCCTAACCCGTATGGCAGAGAAATTGAATCAAGTAGCTAGTGGAGTCTCCACCATGGAAAAAAACCACGAACCGAAAGCAAACAATAAGCAGGCTGATTAGTGCCCATTTCATCAAATGCAAGGGTTAACACTAGACAACCATGAATAGCTACCATATGAACTCTCAATAACAATAACCAAAAGCCAAAAGCCACGCTCAAAAAGTTCAGAAAAGAGAAGAATAGCAACAACCACCAAACGAATTTTCAAAACCCAGAAAGCAAATTGCCTTTTTTTAACCTGAAGAGCGGACAATCGCTCGATGTAGAACTGCTCGACGATATCGGAAAGGCAAGTCTCGTTGAACTTGGAGCAGACTTTGCCCTCAATCAAGCAGCTCTGAATCTTGTTCCAATTCTTCCCTCTGGTGACCCGCTAATCAACCCCTTCACTATTGACGAAGAGACCCACCGCGAAAGAGCACAATCAGAAGAGACCCGCTGCGAAACACAATCTCACCGTTCCCGTCGCCGATGCTTAACCACTTCAATATCGTCAAAGAGACCCACCGCGGAAGAGCATAGTCCACAATCGCGGAAGACGAAACTTGAAACCCCCAATCTCTTTTTTCTCACAGCGTCGCCGTTGCAATGGCCCCTTGATGCAGGTTCGCTGTCGCCGTCGCCCTAAGTCATATGCAGTTTCGCCATCGTCGTCGCCGCCAATCAACCCCGGCACTATCTACGAAGAGACGCTTTGAAATCCCACCGCTGAAGAGAGGCTCTAAGATTCCACGAGCTCAATCGCTTTACCCAACTGGATTTCATTTTTTTTTAATAATTATTATGCAACGAACCGGTGCAACAGGTTACCATTCCAACGAGTGAAAAAAAATAATAATTAAATAACTTTAATCCAATGTTATTATAACAAGATCTAAGGGCTATAAACATAATAAATCACTCATACTATATAGCATACTAAAAGCTTCTAATCAGCATACCTGGTTGTGTTATTCTTTTTTTGAAGGCATTATGTGTACATGATCTCACTGTGAGATTCCATGTCGTGACTCTTGGCTGATGACTGTGAGTCCTCCCAACCTCCCGAGTCTCTTTTTTCTCATGTTCGGTCTGTTGTGTCTTCCTTATTCGTTGCACTTACATTGAGCTCCTCATCTTTACTTTGATTGTCTTGGCTCGATTTGGTATGATCACTCCTGCTAGTTTGATTGTCTACTGTGTTCAGAAAAAAAAAAAAAAAAAAAAACCTTGGTGATGACAGGTTGGGGAGTCCCAGTAGGGTATGTATACCAAATGTCATACATTGAGTTTTCTGCTCCAAGGTGAAGTTGGATGCCTAGGCTGGCAAGTGCAAGGTCATCCCTCAACTCACTTACGTTGCTGTGTACAACCGAGGGAACTCGATCTCAAACAACGGGAATGGCAGGGTAAATAGTGTCACATGGGGAGTGTTCCTTGTGAAGAGATACTGCAGACAGCCGTTGTAGATCCTGCCAGCTTTGGTGTGTGGAAGGATGATACTACATCGTGTTTAGATGTGCTGCTTTTAGTTGGAAAACCATCAGGCTATTTGGGTTTCTAACTCCAAAATTTTCATGGTTTTAACATCAGAACAGTGAATCTGTCAGTGATGTCTATGGACATGCTAACTGGTTCTTCAGAAGTTCGGGTGACTGAAAGATGCCAGCCTTGTACATAAAGTTGCAGTTCTACTATCTCAGGTGTGTGGTGTTCACTTCGAGATCTTCCATGTTTAAGGGACTAGGACTAATGACATTGGTACTATTATCATTCGATGAGTCAACTTAATGGTTTTTTTTTACTGTCTTGTGATGTTCAGGTTGAGCATGAACCTAAGTAGGGGTGTAAGTTTGACCCTTAAAACCCACTGATCCGCCCCGACCCGTCCTGACCCTCAGGGTCGGGTTGGGTCAGTTTGTCTATCGGGTCAATTTAGGGTCGGGTCGGCTTAGGGTCGGGTCAGGGTCAGATAGGGTCGGGTCAATTTAGGGTCGGGTCACTTTTTGACCCTATGACCCTTAGCATCATACAAACATGTTGGACCTATTTGTAAAATTTTATAAGTTTAGGTACTAAATTATAAAAACTAAAAAATTTGGGTACCAAAACGTAATTTTACCATCAAATTTTAGGGACTTATTTGTAAAAAAAATAGGTAGTAAAATGTAAGAAAAAATAAATTCGGGTATCAAATTGTAATTTTTAGAAAAGTAGTCTATTTATTAGGGTCGACCCACTGATCCGACCCTTCCTCACCCGCCCCGACCCTAAAGGGTCAGACAGGGTCATGAAAGAAACAGGGTCGGGACGGATCAGTTATACATCTTGACCTTTCATAGGCGAGTCAGACAGGGTCAGAACAGGGTCAGGGGCGGGTCGGGCGAATTTTCAGTCCTACCTGACAGTCGGGTTGTTCTTGTTGTTGTTTGGGATGGTATCCACATGGAAGCTATTGAATACGAAATCAGCATGCAGTGCCAAGTCCTTTCGGAGAGAGGACCTTCCAATTCTTTTGGAGTTTCTGACGTATCATACTCTCATAATTTGGTTTAGTTTATTTGACATTTGGTTCAATAATTGGTTTGATAGAGTTTACAGACTGCTACTCTACAATCCTTACAGCTCTTTTTTTTTTTTTTTTACTGTACAAAGGATCAAGTCTACACAAAGTAGGAAGGTCATTTTTGTCTTTACACATTTATTATTTAAATCATATAAAAAATAGCAATATCAAGATTTGAACCCGGATCTCTTCAAACAAAGATAACAAGCACAACCAGTTACACTAAACAAATTTATTGCATCTTTTTTATACAAAAAAATAGACAATGTTAATCTCTGAAAATCAGAGGACTTTTTTATCATAATTAGCAAGCTCACTAAGTCTACCGTATGTATTTTTATCGAGCTTGATACTTCTATTTTCATAGTAGAGTTTCATGTAATTTTCTCAATTTTAAATTCTCGCTCTCTCCTTAATTTTTGCTAAAGGTAAATGGGTAATTGGCCAACATTGAAGAAACTAATTATGTAACTACTGTTGTATCCTCGCATTTTTCAATTTAAATTTAAATTTTGTGTTTTTTTATCTTTGTTCTTTTCTCTTTCTAATTTCCTCCGAAATTTCATCCATCGTGCAATAGTTTGCGCCTTTCACTTCCCAGTACAAGACTGTTATTGAAAATCAATCTTCAGGTATCTCTTGGCACTACGGTTTTATTGTTGGGGATTTTAAGCTGGGCGAGTAGAAGATTTCAACTTCGATATCAATTCATGGCGAATAGAATGGAGTTTATCAATAACTGAAGTTGTAGAAGAAAGATTAGAAATTGAATTTTTGGTTGAATATATGCCTCTTGAGATAGAAATTTGGTTGTACAACGGAGAGTGGTGGCTATTGGATCTTTAGGTTTATGGTTTTTGCAACTGTCATAACCTATTTCTATCTTAAAACGAGGAATCATTGATTGATTGTTTGAATTCTTTATTCAACCTACTGGAACTAATAGATAAGGAGTTTCTAATTTTGTGCCTTATTACTTTGATCGAGTCTATTCGTATATTGGAGATAACCCTGATTTTTTCGTTTGCTCTCAAGTTGTGATGGTCCCCTCTTAGCTGAGTTTTTAGTATATAGATGACTTGAATCAATAACTCTCTATTTCTTTTTGATTAGTGACATATTGTTTCTAAAAGGAGAGCATTGAACCCTTTATATAGGATTGTGAGGTTGAAGATTTAGTTTCAAACTATCTATGGGTTGTGTGAGAATTTCAGTGAGCTTTTATACTCTATATTTCTTGATTGTCAAAGAAAACTAACCAATAGCATTTTAACAGGGACTTAATTAGCATTATGAAATGGGCTCAATGATACATTTTTATATTTTATATTCTTAAATGATTATGATATTTCTCCGAATGTTCGACCTATATATTATTTCTTTATGTATCATCTCAATCGAATAATTATCAATAAAATTAAACGGGTTAATAGACGTAAAAGTAACATAAAAATACAAATAATCAAATATGAGCATTCCGGCCAAAGGGCCGGGTTATAAGCTAGTATTATAAAAGCTGGAAGCCAAAAACTGGATGCCCATTTCAAATTTCCGCTTCAGAGAGTGTTTTGCGGGAGGGTGTTTTGGGTAATCGACATTCTTGGAAGCTGGTAACGAAGGGAGAAAAAAACTGGACAGAAGCCTTCCTTGTGCCGAAATCTTATGCAAAGGCCTAATAGGCAGCAGTTGTTAATCCTCCATTAATATATGGTAGAGTTTTGTGTATTTTTCTCCATTTCAAATTTCCTGCAACGAGAGTGAAAGTAGGAAGGTCATTTTTGTCTTTACACATTTATTATTTAAATCATATAAAAAATAGCAATATCAAGATTTGAACCCGGGTCTCTTCAAACAAAGATAACAAGCACAACCAGTTACACTAAACAAATTTATTGAATCCTTTTATACAAAAAAATAGACAAAGTTAATCTCTGAAAATCAGAGGACTTTTTGATCATAATTAGCAAGCTCACTAAGTCTACCGTATGTATTTTTATCGAGCTTGATACTTCTATTTTCATAGTAGAGTTTCATGTAATTTTCTCAATTTTAAATTCCCGCTCTCTCCTTAATTTTTGCTAAAGGTAAATGGGTAATTGGCCAACATGGAAGAAACTAATTATGTAACTACTGTTGTATCCTCGCATTTTCAATTTAAATTTTGTGTTTTTTTTATCTTTGTTCTTTTCTCTTTCTAACTTCCTCCGAAATTTCATCCATCGTGCAATAGTTTGCGCCTTTCACTTCCCAGTACATGACTGTTATTGAAAATCAATCTTCAGGTATCTCTTGGCACTACGGTTTTATTGTTAGGGATTTTAAGCTGGGCGAGTAGAAGATTTCAACTTCGATATCAATTCATGGCGAATAGAATGGAGTTCATCAATAACTGAAGTTGTAGAAGAAAGATTAGAAATTGAATTTTTGGTTGAATATATGCCTCTTGAGATAGAAATTTGGTTGTACAACGGAGAGTGGTGGCTATTGGATCTTTAGGTTTATGGTTTTTGCAACTGTCATAACCTATTTCTATCTTAAATCGAGGAATCATTGATTGATTGTTTGAATTCTTTATTCAACCTACTAGAACTAATAGATAAGGAGTTTCTAATTTTGCGCCTTATTACTTTGATCGAGTCTATTCGTATATTGGAGATAACCCTGATTTTTTCGTTTGCTCTCAAGTTGTGATGGTCCCCTCTTAGCTGAGTTTTTAGTATATAGATGACTTGAATCAACAACTCTCTATTTCTTTTTGATTAGTGACATATTGTTTCTAAAAGGAGAGCATTGAACCCTTTATATAGGATTGTGAGGTTGAGGATTTAGTTTCAAACTATCTATGGGTTGTGTGAGAATTTCAGTGAGCTTTTATACTCTATATTTCTTGATTGTCAAAGAAAACTAACCAATAGCATTTTAACAGGGACTTAATTAGCATTATGAAAATGGGCTCAATGATACATTTTTATATTTTATATTCTTAAATGATTATGATATTTCTCCGAATGTTCGACCTATATATTATTTCTTTATGTATCATCTCGATCGAATAATTATCAATAAAATTAAACGGGTTAATAGACGTAAAAGTAACATAAAAATACAAATAATCAAATATGAGCATTCCGGCCAAAGGGCCGGGTTATAAGCTAGTTATTGGAAAAAGGAAACTGACTACAATGATCAGCTTCCAATGAACCCAACCGCCAATAAAGCCTCCCTCCGGTCAATTACCCATTGTGGCTAAATAATTGTCACAGTTTGTTTGGTTTCACTGGCATAAGTACTAAGTAGTAGCCTTATTAGTAATAGCCTTAATGTGATTATAGTATATGTATTTAGGTTGGTTCATTGTTCTAATGATAATTTGACAGCTTTGTTGTTAGTGTGTGGTATTGTTATTGTAGTATTCCACTCAAATTGGTTAAATACCCATAACACATTTATCCTTCTCATACCAAAGAAATAAAAATCAATCTTATTCTTTTATACCCCTGTGTTAACATAAAGTGGGGATTGACGTGTCATTCGAAGACTTACTTTGTTTGTAGACGGTACATAAGAGTGTGAGGACGTTGACGATGATCATGATTTTTTATGTGAACGGATCCTATAGTTTTTTTAGATGATACGCTTTTGACGGAAGGGAATGAAGGGTTAATGAAGATGATGAGAAACACTAAAGTCGTGGAGACGAGTACTAGGATGCCATTTGGGGAAAATATAGGGATTGAGGAGGGAGTGGCATAATTGTACTTTTATTTTTTTCTTTTATAAATAAAATTTAAAATATATAGTAAATTTAGATATTTTTATGTATAAAATTGGTAACAAATCATTCGAATGGACTATTAAACTTTAATATTTTATTCTTGATATTGATGTACATATTGAACTAAAAAAATAAGAGGTATTGTAATATTTTGTCTTAAATTTTGGAGTATATTTTACAATTTCTTAAATACAAATATTAATACTTTGAATGTAAAAGTATTGGAGAGGATAAGCTCTTTTGCTCTCTCTCATTCAAATGAGTCGGTAATTTAAAGTAATCCAGCCAACGGGCCGGGTCAAAGCTAGTCTATTTAGATGAGAAAATTAATGATGTTCAGATGCCGGATCTGACAGGATTCTAAAATTTTGAAACCCGCACTTACTATTTAAATTATTTAAATTATTAAACCACAAGTTTACAAAACTTAAAAAATAATCCGGTTACTGTTCCTTACGAAAAATCCGGTAGCCACTGTTCACAAAGGAGTTCTATGATTCTCTGCGGTCAGATTCACATAAGCCCATGTTTATCTTTGTTGGACTCGGCAAGCACGGCCTTTTTTTACAACAAATCGTCCGCACCTGATCACTTTGTTCTCCATCACACAATAAATATATAAAAATTTTAATTCAAAAACCAAAAACTTCAATGAAAAAAAGAAGCTAATTAAAAGACGAAAAACATCAATGAGAAAACGAGGGTTTGAATCCCCCCTGTACCTCACCCCTGAACCCGCTGAACTTTACTCTGGCAAACAATTGCAGAGATTCAGCATCCTAATATCCCCCAGTCTCCCTATTCATCGCAATCTTCTTTTTCCCCGACGTTTCGGGTCCGTGGGTCGTTCAACCTGATCAATTCAAAAGCATAGAGAAATGAATAGACGAATTGAGGATTTTGATCGAAGAAATCGGTATCAAGCCATGCACGATGACAAGGAGACCATGTCAACAAGAGAAAGAGATGGCGTGGCTTTTTTTTTTTTTTTGGAAGGCGTCTCTGTAATCGGTTCTGCATGCGTTATCGAGATCGATAGAGGTCTGGCGTTTGAGATCCCTTTCATCTTCGGCTGCCATGGTCTCCTTCCACAGACTCCTATAACAATGAATCCCAACCCTAGGTAACTGGAAAAGAGGCGAGATTTGAAGGCCACCACATGTAAGGTTAATCAACAAAGTACTCTCTGAACATGCGATCCCATTAATACCCAAGCATATAGAATTTTAAAAGGTTTGAACCTGCATCATCGAATGAAGTGAAAAACGAGATAAAATACCCAAATCTATAACATTTTACCTGGGTTATTTGAAAGAGCAACATAGTGGCAGCAGTGTGGATTCTCCCGGTGGTGGTAAACTCCGCGGATTCCATAGTTGGCGAACCACAATCTGTGCGACGACAGAGCTGACATAGAGTTGGTTGGACCAGTAGTCGAACAAATTATTGACGAAAGGGAGAAGGGAACATGAGATTAGGCCGAGAACCATGTCCGGAAATTTGTAGTGGGCCATCAGCCGCACCTGCTCAATTGGGTTGCCGTTCACTACTACTACGTTCTCCCATGTTTTAAAATAGAGTACACCAAGAAAGAAGAAAGGCAAGAAAAACAGAGCATTGGTACAGATATCTAACTCAATTGGAGCTTCATCTTTCGAATAGATTGATAAGGGTTTTTGTAATTTGCCTCTTTTACCAATTTCAACAAGAGAAATAGGGGTCATTGATGAACATGATGGACTTAAAGATCTGTGCATGAGCCACACGTGTCTTTATTTGCAATGCAGAAAGCCACCTGTATTGCCTATACCCGCATACATCCTCCAAATTTGGTTCTTCCCTTAAAAAAAAGACAAAGTGATGTACGAAACTTTTACTTTTTGTGTTACTTTGATCACTGATTAGAGATGTCATAGTTTGATTTGTGGAAATAATTCTAATTTTTGCGAACCAATTACCCGCTATTAGTTCCTTACTTTGGGATTTACTAAGTGGGTTTTATTGTAATTCTCACAAACTTTAGGGTCAATTTCTTTTAGTACAATAGGTCTCCACTTTTTCCATTTTTTATAATGAAATCATAACGTGTCTTTGATACTACTCTTATCTTACACAATCCAAAAACTTTCATAAAGGTGGTGTGATTCGGTATGAGTAACGGATCTTGACGTGATACATCTTCGTAATGAAAATAAATGTGAATTGACTTTTACAATATTTATAGAATAAGCACCGTAAAAAATCTACTTCAAAAAGATAATTGTAAGAAATGAAGTAATAACGATATATGTATTTCATCAATGCGTATTCCATCAATGCATTTTTTATATTTGAATCTTTATCAATTACAATATTTATGCGTTTTCAGGATATTCGAACTAATATTTTTGTTTTTGCAAAGATCCCAATTTCGAAATCTGAGACCTCATTATTTTTGCAGGATATTATGTATGATTGAACACATTCTTTTTTAACCGATCGTAGATAAAACTGTTTTATTTACCGTTTCACATTTGAAATTACATTATATCAGTTTATCATATTTATAAAATATAAACTTTAATCAAATAAGAATAGAACACAACCTGCGCAAAGCGCGGGCTTTGATCCTAGTAATCATTAATACCATTGTAAGTATTCATAAAAAGAACCATTATAAGATAAACATTACAATGAATGAAGTTTCAGAAACCACACGGAAACATTTTCCAGCTCCATGGGGTTCAGTAGCATTTCTAAATCACTCCATCAAGTTGATATCTTCAGGTCCATCTAACAATAATTTTAAGCAACACCCTCTTCGGTTTGGTCATCAAATGCAGCAGTCAAATCCAACCTCTGAAACACCCAAATAAAAGGATGTGAATTCAATAAAAATGGAGGCTAGGACAGAACTAATTTAAGGACCTCCCGCTCCAAAATGTTGGAGAACATTATATGATACATCAAGGTGCTCTAACGACTTTAAGTTATCAAGGCCAATTAAAACCAATTAAAACCTTAATAGCATTTACTTGTAAGGTTGAAGCATCAAGCTAAATGCTTGAAATATAATGGCGGACTTCATACTAAGTTACATGGGTAGGAAGAGATAAACTATGTATGTTGTTAGTCTAAGGTTAACTTTATACACAATCCTTGAGATAGCCCCTGAATCAGCAAATTAATTTCCTCGCTCAAGAATGATTCTGCATGAAATTGAACCCTCAAGTATAGTCTAGCCCCATTCCAATCATATCACCAATCACCAAGAGATGGACGCTAAAAAAAATTCTAGAGTTGGACCAATCCTGCTACATGGAGATGTCTAGTCTTGCGAGAATCGCATAGCATCACCTGACTTAGAATACAAGAACTAAGGAACAATACAAAATTTAGATGGCATATGGGCTACCTTTGAATGATTCCAATAAGCATAATATGAAGCATGCTATATCTACTTAGGATTAGAAACACAATAAAAGCAGTAACCACAACTAGAACATGATGCAATAAGATGCAAGGAAACTTATAGAGTCGAGCTTTGATTCACATATTTTTCTCAAAGAATCTGCCTGCTTCAGCTCATTCTCCCAGTAAAGTGCATCCAGCGCCTTGCCAGGAACAACCCTACTTTCCCCCTATATAGTGTCATTTGTCAATCGAATCCAGTAGGAAGTAGAAAGAATTTATACTTCATCTAGACTATCATATAGAGAATTTATAACATATTTGATCCCTGGTGATGTTATCACTGATGGTCCAACACTGAAGAACTGACCATTCACCAAATATCTTGTTTCTCACCTTCTTTAGAGCCACTTCCAGCTCTGTCGCTGTTGTTGTTGCCGTTCTTGTTTGATGGTTCGAAAATAGGGAAAAACCCTACCAATAGAATCGAATGTGACCTAGCACCAACACGAACCCGAATAAAAGAAAATCTTTCTCCAATCTTCCACACCACCACAACCAAATAACGAGCATCAATCGGAGCAACGAATTCCCAAAATAGAAGAAGGAGCATATATATCGTTACTTGTGTTTGATTTCAAATATAGATTCAAGAATATAAATCCATACATAACCATGTGTTGACACCACCAGTCCCCGCCGACTGCCTCTCAGTCTTCCATTCACATCCAAGCTCGAACAAGTTTTTCACCAGCCCTTCCACATCAGCAGTGAAAACTAGAGAAACAGTTCTAGGAATGCGGCGGCGGACTGAGACAGGATTGTGGCTGGCGTACTGGAAAATGTCAGTCCGGAGCTTATGAAAACAACGAAATCATCATCGAAGGAGGCATAGGTGTTAGGAAATTCATTTCCTAACTTATGTGGGCTATCAATTTCAAAACACACTATATTTGTTATTTGCTAAGATGAGCTAAATTAAGTGGTCAATTTTATGTGGCCCATGACTACTCAAGCTCAATATGAGTCCAATGGGTGGAAACCCAATACTTGATCACCATAGGGTAATGTGAGCCCATGGTGAACTAGTATATAAAGAGTTTGATGTTGTGGTCCCCAATACACCAAGACCAAAACAATCTCATCTTCTCCCCATCAGGAAGATGAGAGCTCTCCCATATAGGAACTAAGGAGGCTTGGTTGAGGAAGGTCAACCCCCCCCAGAATTTATAAATTAAGTCAAGTAGCAACTAGTATTAAAAAGTTGTGTTGTAGACTAGTGGTCAGAATGCTAGATTTGGCCGATGTTGAACGTAGGTTCAAATCCCCGTGGATGCTGTTTCTGCATTTTAATTGATTTTTATTATTTCTAATTAACTATTGTTTCACCCTTTATTATCATTTTCAACAACTTTGTCGGATTTCCTTTTCTGTTGGTTGATTTTGAATGAAAATAATAAAATTTAGCTACAAAACGTGAATTTCTTGATTCAATAGACAAAAAATATTCAAAACATTTACCTTGAATATCTTGTTTTGATTCATTCAATAATTATTATCTTTGTAAATGTGCATTTTGAATGAAAATAATAAAATTTAGCTAAAAAATGTGAAGTTTCTTGATTCAGTATACAAAAAATATTCAAAACATTTACCTTGAATATGATTTTACGAATCTATCTATCAAAGCAAAAGAATGTGCAATTTTTCAATTTTTAGCCACCCACATAGAAATACTGGCTTAGCTAAAGATTTTCAATTTTTGGCCCCCCCGGAATAGGAATCCTGGCTTCACCCCTGGCTCTAGGAGTATCGTCCAGTTCAAGATCGTCGTTCATATTCCGCATCAAGTCTCTGACGATCAACCGACATGATTACAGGTATTTCTACAAATCTTTGATAATCTGACAAGATGTATTCCAAGGAATTACATAGGCTAAAGTTAAATTACAACAAGTGGTATCAGAGCAGGTTATCTCTCGTTAGATTATTGAGGTTTCAATATACACATGTAGATTATTCTTCGTCCTCTTTCTTATGAGATTCAGGGACGTGTGATAGTTTGGATATGGCTATATATATTTGGATAATCGGTACTTTTCATTCTCTGTTCATGATCTTATGTGATTCGTTATTGGCAATGACCATGACCAGTTGCACCAAGTAATTGTGGTATGCTATATTTGGTATCGGAAGTTTCAACCGTATGCAAATTATTCTATCATTACTGTGCGGTAGATTTTCGGTGGAAACTACTGTCTAGATCAAACAATTGTTTATTTTCGGTTGAATTGATCAAATTATTGGTTTAATGCATGGTACTGTTCATCCAAATCCCAAATACAATCCAGTGATTTATTCAGTTGATTATATCAATAAACAAATTTGTTCGGTGCATGAGAATGTGCTTGCTGTTATGGGTGTTCAAATGGTTACCATGGTTATTACCAAACCAAATAAAGCTAAATTTCATTAACCATTAAATATAATATCATAACCAAACCGTCCAAACTAATACAACAACCAAATTAACAAAATTAAAGTTTAATCAGTTTGGTTTATTGGTTAACCAGAATAACCAATATAAATCACATTATCATTAAGTGAGAAATTTCGGTTAATTTATCAGTTCACAATTTATATAATGAATAAAACATAACAATCAACACATAGTTATAGTTGACTCTTAACATAAATACATGCAATTAAGACAATTATCTTACGATTAGTATAGAAGTATTCACCTAACAAAAATTTATCACAATGGTATGGGTTAACGAATTTTTGTGTTTGTTTGAATTGAATTAGTCTTTTAGCATTTTTCATAGGCTGAAAAGAACCTTGCTTTCAAGTTTTCATCCAACATAATGTATGCGATTTATCTAAATTAGGTGTTCATATGTTGTGGTCTACACTCTACATATACAAATATACATTATGGGAACAATATTAAGCTTTATATTTTATGAGTGTAAAAGGGATGAACGTTCAACTCTTGAGTGGTTATTCAAAATATTAAGTATGTGTATATATTATATATATGGCTATTTATTTATCTGGTTAATTTGGTTTGGCTGGTTAGGAGTGTCTGAAACCAAATCAAACCATCTAAACCAAACAAGCTAAAATCTTTAACCAAACCAAACCAATTATCCAAATTAACCAAACCAAATTATCCAAATAGTACTGGTTAAAACAGTTACCATGGTAACCACACCGTTTGAAACCAAATCAAACCATCTAAACCAAACAAGCTAAAATCTTTAACCAAACCAAACCAATTATCCAAATTAACCAAACCAAATTATCCAAATAGTACTGGTTAAAACAGTTACCATGGTAACCACACCGTTTGAACACCCCTACTTGCTGTGATTACTGTTATTCCGGTGACCTGAACCAGAGTTTTTTTTTATTCTGGTTTGTCTTGATCGGAGACTTCCAAAAGTTTTCCGGCTGTTTTTTTTTTTTGTTATTATTTTTAACATTTGGAATTTTGCTCCGGTTGAGAATTGAGATTAAAACTGGTGCCGTTATGATCATTAATAATGATTATTTAATCACGGAAGTGCTTCTCTCCATTTTTGGGTTGAGATACATTATGGGATTTCATCGGTTACAATTATGGTAAATTAAGAGGGATATAATTTCTTACCGTAAGATTCATGTTACGGGCTCAAAATAGGGTGCATAACCATGGATTATGCACCCATCAATAACCAAATCTGGACTCGTTATATAGAAAATTTAGATCTAAGGAAGGAGAATTAAAAACCATTTTTATTTTTTCTAGCTTTCTTAATTGACTCATATCTTTTTCGTTTTAACTCGGATTTTAATTTTTTTGCACAGATGGAACGACTTCATCGTGCTCTACAAAATGAGATCAATTTTCAATATTTTTTGAGAAAAAAAAATTCTGGCCTCTCGGTACCAAATGCATACCATATGGTATCTTCTTTGTTTTTAATTCGTTTTTTAAAAAGTTTGCACAGAAGGGACGAGTTCATCATGATCTATTGGATCTACAAATTTCTGGGTGAACAAATTACATGACCAAAAAATACCACACAATACCACCCTGGTACGGGGTGGTATTGTATGGTATCTTCTTCATTTTTAATTCGTTTTTGAAAACGTTTGCACAGAAGGGACGAGTTCATCATGATCTTTTGGATCTACAAATTTCTGGGTGAACAAATTACAGGACCAAAAAATACCACACAATACCAATACCACCATGGTATACAATGTGGTATTGTGTGGCATACAATGTTAAAAGTCGTAAATGAGAATTAATATACTTCTACTATCATGTATTCAACCATCCTACAGCCTTGGTTTGTTCATACCACCATGGTACTTTTTCAAACCATAGGTATGCTTTTATTTCAATACCAGTCAATACCATATGGTATAGACTGGTAAAAAATGGCTCAATTTTTTTTGTTCGAAAAATATATTAAAGTGGATATCATTTTGAATAGCACAATTAATCTGATCTAACTGTGCAAAAAAATTAAATTTCGACTTAAAATGAGTGAGAAATCGTCCGTCAAAGATTAAAGAGGGGAAAATTAAAGGCTTTCCAAGAGAGAGAGGATGCTGATGTCATGTTGATGTGGACGGATTACTCATGGTTACTCACCATAAGGTTACTGACCTGATCCATTCCCCATGTTACGGTTATATGTGAAATTCAATAATTAATCGATCATCCGGTTAAGGATTTTAAAATTAAATCTACACAATAAATAAAAGCCAAATGAGAAAACTTGAAGCCCCATTTCAAATTTCCTGCATCCAGAGTGAAAATAGGAAGGACATGTTGGTCTTCACAATTACTTTTTTTTTATTCACTATCGTGGGCCCCGGCCATTTGGCCAGAGGAAGGTGAAGTATGAAATTTGATAATGTAATGGGGTGTATAGCTTATTGTTGTATAGTTTTTTTTGGGAAACACGTGATAAATAGTGAATTTTAGTAAGAAAGAGATATGAATGATGCAACGAATCAAAAATCAGCCTTGTGAACCAAAACCAAGTACTTGTTACCTTGTGAAACAATATTGTTTATGGTAATATGATGAGGTGGAGTAAGGTTTATAGAAATCGAATTCGAGAAAATTAAAAACATATAATCGCACAGAGGAAAAAACCATTTCTCCATTTCAAATTTCCTGCTCCAGGAGCGTTTGTAGGAAGGGTAGAATAGGGAGTGTCAATTTTCTTCTTTTTCCTCTGTGAAACGGGCCAACTTACCGTACACATGCGGATTTAAACAGGTCCAGGAGTGTCAATTGTTTTCTTTAGGTCCTTTTATTTCTCCGTGGTGATAAAATATATATGAAAAGGCAAAAACAATACTAATTTTTATTGCTAAAAAGAAAAAAATTTAATAATAAACGAATGCATGGATTCTAATGGGCTAACCGCTAATCATAAAATAAAAGAGTTGAATTGGCCTGACCTATACAGGAAATAAATTAATTTTAAATAAATTGTCCAGTATTTTGTCCAGTATGTTAAATAAATTAATTTTAGCAGTATGTTGCCAAAGTAACCTCTACTTGTGAAAAATTATT